ATAGATGTACTTTTCCACAAAGGCATAAATCATTTTCTGAAGCAGCCCTACAGTACGTTTGCATCTGACCTCGACTTACGTACATACCTAATCCAATCAGCCAAATATGCAAATAGGGACTACTACACAAAGAAGTACACATGAACACATGATGGCCTAAAAAAAACAAGATAGCAGAACACTCGCCGGCCCTGCAGACGAGCAGACAAACAATTCCTGTCTCTTTATCTCCAGCTCTGTAAACCTTTCTCTGCAGCGTCAGTCAGCTTGGCTCAATTCAATAAACTCTCAGCCTTACCCAGTTAAGTCAATCAAATTGACTCAACACACAGAAACAGATTATAGGGAATATTGAGGAATTTTGATTATTTGTGCCCAGGGGAAACTTCTGCCAAAGCTATCATTTGGCCAGAACTTAAAGAAAAGAGACATCCAGCAAAAAAAGAAACAACAACCCAAACAAAACTTCAGCAGCTGCTGCCGCAATCAAATGAGAAGAAAAAATCCAGTTCTAGTGTTGTGGTTGTTCTAATGTTTGTCCGGGGGTGTGAAATACTGATTAAAGATATGAAGAGATGCTTAAACGGATTGCTTAGCTTCCTGACAGCCTTTAGTGAGCATATGACACATTACTTAAAAGAATAGAATCTAAATAAAATGCATTGGTTTTTTTTTTTGCACACTCATTTCAGGAAAATTCTGTTTTGAACGAGCCATAACATTATAAACACTCGCATAACAAGGAGTGGGTCATCATGCCAATGAAACACCAAATCTGAGGATGTCCTGGAAACTCTGGAATCAGGACATTAGCAATAGGCACTTTGGGGATGTGGTGTAATTGGAGTGGGTCTTTGTAGGCTGGTTAATGCTAGCTTTCTACAGATATCATCAGGTCAGTATTTGGGGAGTTTACAGGCCAGACGGAGACATCTACTCCTTGTCTGGCTCTTGGTCTTGGCAGTGCCCACTACTGTTTCCACATGTAGGGGTCAGTGCAACGTCAAAGAATTAACCTGTCAAGTGTTGTTAATGTTGGTTCGTAGGTGAGTAGCATGTACATTCTGCTAGTAAAACAGATTTCATTTAGCTCTTTTAAAACACTTCAGGCAAGACTTGGAATAACCTGTCGATTCTGACCATCCCCTGAAGACGGAGGAACGGGCCTGTGCAGCCTCGCTGAAAAACTTTTCATTATGCTTCTCCCGCTGCTTTTACTTACATAAATAAAAAACGTTTGATTCACGAGTTTAACCATATTTACAATAAACACCAAACCTCTAGAACTGTTTTTTTTTTGTAAAAACACCACAAATAGCCCTCAGGGCTACATTTTGCACAAAAATCTAAACAATGTCAAGTTTGTTTAAACTGAGGCCTCCATTCTTTCCATTAAGAAACTTTTGTCTCAATCGTTGTGTTTTTATAATATATATATATATACACACACACACACACACACACAAACACACACATCTATTTAAAAGATCCATTCAGAGAACAGGATACCAGACAGGCCTTGCTGTCTGTTTCAGATGCCTTCGATAGATCCCTGTAATAATCATCAGAGAATAAGGTAGATAATCAATAGTTTTCAGACATTCTTCTATCTCTAAAGATTCTGTGTTGAGAGGCTTATAAAAAAATAAATCAAAGGCCTTCCTGTTGTGGCTGACAAATGTCCTGTGCCAGAATTTTAGCTTGAAATATAAATTTGAGTTGTTGTTTGAGCGCCGTTCCACTCCAAATGATGCCTGAGCTCAGTGAAAACTGACTGGACAGAGACACCTGAGGCTGAACTCCTGTGTCTTCCCTGAGGAGGTTTCCACCCTCGCCTGCCCCCGTCACAACAACACCAGAGATGCATGAAGAGGTGTCTTTGTTCAAAATAAAGAATGTCCATCACGCTTCATCCTCCCCTCTCTTTTCTCTCAGTCCGCAACACCAGGGCAGGTTGGAATGTGATGGTCTTAGTGTGTGCTCACGTGTGTACAGACAAGTATGTGAGGAGAGGATCGAGTCGCTTGTGGGCAATTTGGCTGAGACGCTCTGTGCCTGTGAGAGTTTTTGCCACTATCAGCATTACAGGGGCAAAAGCAAGCTGAAATAAGCACAACTGTATCCCATCACCTATCATCCCACTGGTTTACACACACGGCATTCTTTGCACAGACAAACAAGCTGGCACAATCAAGGTCAGAGCCAGGCATTTACATTTTAGTGAGGATATGAATGAACGTACGTGAGTGAGAGTCAGTCCTACACGATTCTAACTAGTTTCAGATTAATACCGAGACCAAGCAACACGCCTCGGTTTCATGGATGGTTTTCTACAGTCGAATATTTGAAAAGTTTCTTAAAATTTCTTCTTCCCTTTGTTTTTGAGGAAAGCATGCAAACACACACACCAGACAGGGTCTTTAAAAGTGGAATTACCTTTGCGAGCGGGGTGAGCCCTGATGAAGTGCTCCTTGAGTAGTTTCTCATTTTGTGAAACTTGACCCCGCAGAAGACAGCATCCACTTGCATGGCTCCTTTCCTTCCGAATAGGTTGCCGTTCCCCCCCTCCTTCTATTCCTCTGTACGTAGTCCCCTGCCCCTGCCTCCGACTTCTCTCACTTCACATTGCTCCTACCTCCCACAAAGACTCAGGGTACAGCTCCAAGATCAGAAAAAGTTCCAAAAAGGCGCAGAGTCAGTGGAATCCTCTCCTTCTGTCCAGCTGCGGGGCTGAAAATGCTAAAAGCTCCTTCCTAGTTCACAAACACACTCACTCCTATCTCTCAAGGACACTGATTCCTTCTCTTTCTCTCTCCCCTAAAACTTTTCCCACCCCTCCTTCCCTCAAGCCACCCCCTCCTCCTTCCTTTTCTTTCTCCGCCCTCTCCATTTTCCATCATCACCCCCCCCTCTCCACATCCCTGCCCACCCACCTAAACCCCCCACCGCTGAACTAATCTGCAGCTGGCCTGGCGATTGGAGGCTTGGTTGCTGGGGAAACCAAGTGTCCTGCTCAGGACAAAAAAAAGAAAAAGGAAAAATAATAAGTGGGAATGAGGAGGGCAAGGAGCAGGAAGGGGCAATCCTGAGCACAACTGATTACATAAATAAAAGCCCCCTCTGGGAGCCAATTAAGGAGCTCTTCCTATCTAAGTTAGGGGACAACATGTTCATCTATGTTTCTTTTAAGCAACTGTTTACGGGTTCGCATGTACCAAACTGAGGCAGCAACAACAAGCACAGACAGGGCAGAGGCATTAGCCGTGTGCGCTAAAGGCTGAGCGTGGTCAGCGGAACTCAACAGCCCTGTGGAAAGTGTGAACAAAGAAAGAAAGCAGGCAGGAGACCAGGCTGGACATGCATACTGATGACCTGTGTGATTAACAATTAACCTGCATAACACAGGAGTCTTGTGTACTTGAAATTTTAAAAACATCTCATGCTCATTCCCAAAGAAAGATTTAATTAACAATGAAAGTCAAATCATATCTGTTAAATGTCTGTATTATATATTTCATGAAACAGTAGCAAATACAAAATAAACCATTTTATAAAGGATACAATTAACTGTCAACAATGACAGGTATCAGAGCTGTATAATTGAACACACATGCATGGCAAAACAAAGTTTTTGAATACCTTTTATAAAGTCTCGAGCAGCCCAGCCCAGCAACTGTCCTGCTGACCTCTGTCACTAAAGCCTGACCTCGTCTTTGAAATGCAAGAGAGATCTAAAATGCCTGGCATCAATAGCAGTGGGGCGGACGGGGTGGAGGTGGAGGCCAGTAACATCTGTTTGGCGTTTCACTCACTTTATTGTGTTGCTGAGTCCTCTATCAGGCCTACAGCTGGGACCCTGGGAGGGCCCTGAGCCCACTGTCCAGGGGACTCACACCGTGACTGGGAACATGGCTCCAGTGAGTTCTCAGTCCCTGATGGTGCTCAGTAGGCTCTTCGCAAGGGCTCCGGTTTAAGCAGAGGAAATGAAAATAAAATCACACAAAGGGTGTGTTTTGTTCCCCACCTCCACATTTTCCCGGTGATCCAGAAATGGTTTTCTGTTCACAGGAACCTTGAGCAGAAAGACAGATATTTTGGAAGAATATCTTTCATTTCCAAAAAAAGATAAACAAAGGGTGAAATCTTTGAGCGCTTTGATAAACAAAATAGAATATTTTGATTTGTGAATCTCATGAATGAATATCTTAAAACAGAACAAGAAAGCATATCGAATGCAGACAAACCATTAAAAATAAGAGCTGAGGTGGTCTTGTATTACAGTAGTCTGTTTTTAAAAGGTAACCAGAAAATAGAAGTTTAGACGATATAGTGTTACCGCAGGAGCTAATGCAACATGTTGGGACTAATTGGGTCTTTAGTAACAGGTGAGTAACATAACAGGATAAAAACTATCATAAGAAGTAAAATGATGTTTTTTGTTACTCTTTTATCTAGTAGTGAAAAGCACTCGGATTTGCTGTGCAATAATCAACGTCTTTAGTCATCATTGGACACTTAAATTAATGCATGACGAGTATGAGTACAGTTGCTTCCGTCTGTGTTGTATGTGTGATAGATTGGCAGACTGTTGAGAGTGTACCCCACCTCTTATCCGGTTGCTCCTGGAAAAAGGCCTAAAAAAGAAAGAATGAATTTTGAATTAAATTCATTAAACTGACATACAATGACGGGTGATGTGTTGCCACTTGTGGACAAGCTGACTAATTTACAGAAACGCAGCTGAATCATGTTATTTAATCAACTGGGCAACATCACCGTATACATTTTGTAGGGGATCATAATCAATTCGAAATTTTGTTTATAAAAGGAGAAATGGTTTAGTCATTTGTTTTTTCTGATACAATGACCTGGGTTTACAAAAACTAACCATGATAAATAATACACACAGACAAAAAAAAAGATAATTGTATTTCTGGAACGAGTCTTTGAAACGTCGCAATTCCCCCCTCTAGTTGCCGACATCGCCGCGCCGGTCGTGCGTTGTCACGTGACCTCGCGGTGAATCGTCACACCCGGAAGCAGGTTGTCATTGCAGTGTTTATATGAACAGTTCTTCTCTAAATGGACTAAATGTTAGATTGTTCTGTTAACTATGAAATCTCCCGTTTATCCGCCGACGAAGAAAAAAGGGTTTAAATGCCTGTGCGTACGGGAAACCACAGCTACTGCCACTAAGTCAACGTAACGCCGGGACTTAGCTGTAAGACAGACACATACATGTCTTTACGTTCATGTAGTTTTTTTAGCGGGCTGCCGTTTTTTAAAAAGGCGGAACACGTGGATTAGACCCGCAGATGTTTACATGGGAGTCCTGCTTTGTTGTAAGTTTGCATTCCCCTAAATGATTTAGTAAAAGGGTGTTTCGTAACATGAGACGAGCACATGCGAACTAGTTCACCTCTCGGACTGAGTTAACAAGCATCATGGCAACGATGGCCCTTGGAGCAAGAGGAGTCCTTTTCAACCTGAGGTACACTCTGCAGAAAGCTGGTTCCTTTGCAAGGTCAAGACTCGTGCAGCAGCGCGGTGTACATTTGCTGAAAAGCGAGCAGATTTTCTGCCACATCCCCAAGGTTACACTGCTGTGTTGGGGTGCAGTTAGTGTATCAACATCTGCAGCCAGATGCCAGGAAGTGATTCTTCCATCCCAGACTCGTGCTAGAAAGTCACTGGCAAAAGTCCAAGTACACAAGTTAATATTTTTCTTCCGCCTCAGCCTCAGAGCCTTGGTCCTGCTCCTCAAATTTAGCCCCCTTCTTCTCCTGGCTCCCTTTGCTTTTGTCTCATCCCGCTGTGCATCTTTCTGGCTGGATGCTCTGCTGTGGGTGACTGAAAGCTCGGGTCCCACTTTCATCAAGCTGGGCCAGTGGGCCAGCACCAGGCGAGACATCTTCCCGGGGGAGTTCTGCGAGCGCTTCTCGAGGCTTCACGTCAAGGTGCGCCCTCACTCCTGGTCCCACACCAAGGAGTGCCTCCGCAGGGCCTTCGGAGAGGGCTGGAGGAGGGTGTTGGTGTTCGAGGGGAAGGAGCCCGTGGGTTCAGGATGTGTGGCCCAGGTGTACCGAGGCTGGGCCAAGGTGGATCAGGTGGAAGACCTGGCGTTCCAGTCTCTCGTGGAAGACCTGGAGAGAGAAGACTTGCTGGAAGCCTGGGAGATCCCCGGCCTGAAGGGGGTGGCCAGCACTCTGCGGCATCTGTGGAGGGGCAGCATGGATGAGGAGGGCGTCGGGGAGAAGATTCCTCCTGATGGGCTGCACGGGGACAGCCACACTGAAAAGGAGCGCATGATACCTGTGGCGATCAAGGTCAGCCTCATACCCACAAACCCCGGGTCACACGTCGTATCTGATAGTGAGAATCGGATAAAAAAATAAAAAAAAATGCTCTCTTGTTTTATAGGTCGTCCATCCAGGCGTGAGGAGGCAGGTGGAGATCGACCTATTGCTTATGAAAACAGGCAGCTGGCTGTTGCACTGCCTGCCTGGACTTAAATGGCTCAGTATGTGTGAAGTGGTGGACGAGTTCGAGAAGCTCATGACCAAACAGGTACTTTCACAACATCTAGACTCACGTTATCTTTTCTTGATACATGTCAGTTAAATAACATAAGATTTGGTTCATTTCATTTAAAAACAAAGTATTTGTATTAGAAACTGTCCCACCAAAGAGACACCTTTAGCAAGCAGAGTTGTGGGATTACCACTCATCCAACTGGGTCTTCATTTCAGATCGATCTCCGTTTTGAGGCCAAGAACATCGAGCGCTTCCGAGAGAATTTCCGCGATGTTACCAACGTCAAGTTCCCAACTCCGTTACGGCCATTTATCACCAGGAATGTCCTGGTGGAAACATTCGAGGTGAGCACACGGCGTCGGAAGAGTAACACCGGAAGCCAAAGTCCTGCTCAGTGATTTAAACGGAAAGCGGATTGATTATTTATTCACTCTAGGAGAGCGAGCCCATTTCTAACTACCTGAGCCCGGAGATTCCTGTCGAGGTGAAGCAAAGAATAGCCAGAATGGGAGTGGATACCCTCCTGAAAATGGTGAGGGACACAAACAAAGGATTTGTTTATGCGTCTTTTGCATATTTGTGGGAACAAATTCTCATTTTTGAGATGCATTAGACTGAATGTTGCCCCACCAGGCGGTGTGGTGTGTGGTCCTCCGGCTTCATCACCCTGTCCACATATGCGTTGCTCCAGGTTTTCGTGGATAACTTTGTCCACGGTGATCTCCACCCTGGCAACATCCTCGTCCAGTGTCGGGAGCCTCTCGGCGATTCCCCTCACGGCGCGAGCCCCCCAGCTGAGCACCGGGGGAAAACCACCCTCACTGACCTGTGGGACACGGTGGTGGTCAGCGTCAGACCGGAGCCATGTCCGATCCAGCTGGTGCTGCTGGACGCGGGGATCGTGGCCCAGCTCAGTGACCACGACCTCGCCAACTTCAAGGCCGTCTTCACAGCCGTGGTGCTGCGTCAGGTAGGGAGTTTCCAGTCACTAAAACACTCGACAGGGTTTGGTGTTACATTGAAGAATGAATACATGGAACATGTTTTGAAGTTTGGGCATTTCTGATGCGCTTTAGTTTCACAGCAACAAATCTAAAAGACTTCATTAACTGTTTTTATGCACAAAAAGAATAAATAAATCCAGTCAACATCAAAGTGAAGTCATTCATTACTAATTGTTTGGTTAAAGATGTGGGTGAAAAAAAGTTTAAAAGTAATGCTTTAACTTGTTCCTGTCAAAGGGTGAACGAGTGGCAGAGCTGATCCTGAATCACGCCCGCGCCAACGAGTGCCAGGACGTGCCCCGGTTTAAGAGGGAGATGGCCGAGCTGGTGGACCATGCCGTCAGCAACACCCTGGCTCTGGGGAAGGTATTTCTGTTTCGTCTGGATTGTGTTTCTGCTGGCTGCTTTTTGCTGAACATTTGCTTCCGTGCTCACTTATCACAATCGATGTCTTTCCACTTTGTTCAGATTCAAGTTGCTGACTTGCTCTCCAGAGTCTTTGGCCTACTCATTAAACACAAGGTAAAGCACCACCACCCTATCATTCTTCATATCATGTCTTATCGTGAAGAGTGATTCTGGATTTTAAGTGTACACAACATTCTACTGTCTTGTAGTTATTGTGGATGCTGACACCAGGCCAAAAATATATAAGATCTGTCTGGATTTGGGCACAATGGTGTGCTGCTTTCCAGTTAAAGCAAGCTCCTCACCAATATTGCTGCTTACCCTTTTTTGTTCTTTTTCCAGGTCAAGCTGGAGAGTAACTTTGCTTCCATTGTGTTTGCCATCATGGTGCTGGAGGGTCTGGGCAGGTCACTCGATCCCACCTTGGACATTCTGGATTTGGCTAAACCGCTGCTGCTTAAGAACTGTGCCTCAGTGCTCTGACACACACACACACACAAGCACAACAGAACACACACAGTAAGTGTAAACGGGAGCACTGAGCCTTGACTTCCGGGTGTCTTCAGAACGACAGAGAAATATTCCATGCTCGTAACGGTTTCCTCCACATTTCATCATCGATGACGCCATAAATACCTCATATTGTTTGGTTTTATTATATCAGTCACTTTGACCTTTTAATGTTCTTTTACTGTGACTGAATATGAACACTTTATTCCCTTTAGTCATCTACAAGGAGTCCATTCACCTCAGCCTACTGAATCAGAGTGGATGTTTTATAGGAAGAACCTTTTAGTTGGAGACACATCAGAGAACGTTTGTAGCATTTTAAGATTTGAGTAAAAGATCCCTAGGATACCTTCTTGATACTTAAAAGTATTTTTTAATGACTGACATATCGGAATGTCTTATCTCTCCATATGTGGATCTTAGGTAATGTCTAATGGACCCTGTTTGTTTTAGTGTGAAATGCAAGGGATGGATTTTTTTCTCTCTCATGCACTACAGGACAGTTTGATGGATATCCGTATGTCCAGCTGACCATTGTATTTTAGTTTTCTGTTTAAAAAAGTGGGAACACTTAACCGCTAACATCAATAAAAGGGGAATCTATACTAATTTGTTGTCCTTACTTTTCTTCCTCTGTAGCCTTTACAGTCAACGCAGAGCAGGAAATACATTACATTGAGGGCAGGGGAGTCATTACTTTACAATTTTATTAAATCTGTCAATGAAAAACACAGACAAGACGTGATTCTGTCAATGTCATCAGGAAGAACAGTCGGCATGGCTAAACGAGTGAGCTCGGAAGGTTTAGGTGCAGACACGGGGAAAAGAAACGGGGAAAAAAACTAAACAAAAAAACAACTCATCACATACCCTTTATTGCAAAACATTTTTTTTTTCTTCAACACTATCAGGAACCCAGCACATAAGCACTGTTCAAGTAAGTAAGGAGGGGAGAGGTGACAACTGTGTTTAAAAAAAAACAAAAACAAATCAAGAATTAGAACAATAATAATAATCATTATAATAATCAGAATGAGCAAGGAAATAAAAACCTGTCTAATAGACAAACACAATCACCTCATTATAAGACAATTTTTTCCTTTTTTTTGTCACGGTCACAACAACCAGAGAAAAGTTGTTTTCTTTTTATTTCCTATATTTTTAATGAATTAAATAGTTTTTAAAAATATCTCACAATTTACTTATACTCATCTTTTTTTTTTATTTATTGCGAAAAATAGGCAACTGGACTAACTGTGATGATTCAAGTTGTATGTGTGTGTGTGTGTGTGCGTGTGTGAGCGTGTGTGTGAGACAGATAAATTAAGATTGAATAGAGGGATACCGTGGGACGTGTAGGAGCGTTGGCACCAAGTGTGGAGATGCAGTACTCTCATTTGTCCACCAGGTGGCACGGTTTAGTCCAAGAGTCCCTCCAAAGTCCAGCTGTGGCAGCCTGCCCAGCCTCCGCTACACCAAAGGAAGTCCAGTTCTCCCCACAGTGGCCTGTATGTGTGTGTTTGTGTGTGTGTTTGTTTCGCTTTCATTCGTCTTTTCGGAATGATGCTCGTGTGTGAAGCTTTGTTACCCGCGGTCATTTATCTGCGTTGCCAAATCTCAGTTCTATGTACAAAGGTTTCAAATCCCTGAAGGACATTTACAAAGACAAGTGCAACCTCTGTGTGGCCGTCCCGCTTTTTCTGGAGAGGCTCAGGGATAAAAGGGCTTCCTAGAAAGGGCGCATGAGGGGAACAGTACCAATCGGATCCGGTAAACGTGCCACAGTAGGAATGAACAGAATAGTCTTTTTCTTCTTTTGTTTTTTGGGGAATCAAAGTCAGGAGTAAAGGCAGAGGATCAAGATGTAGGAATGTCCGAAGGTGTCGAGGGGACTGTAAATTCATCAAAGGAGGGGCACCAAAGTATTCTAACGTAATCTAGAATGTTCGAGAGAGGGGATGAAGCCAACAAAAAGGAAACAAAACGACGCAGCCGTTGTTCGTTCGTCATATACCTTCATGCCAAGCCCCCCCCCCCCCGCCTCCCCGTCTCTCCATGCATTTAGAAAAAAGTCCTTGAAGACCAGGCGGACCTCGTCCACGTTAAAAGCTGATTGTGTTTTCGTTATTTCACTCATTCCACACTCATTCCATCCGTGTGTGTCGCCATGGCTGCTGTCAGTGGGAGGCTCCCGACTTTGTGTGTGTGTGTGTGTGTGTGTGTGTGTTTGGGGAGGGGGGCGAGATGAGCCTTTTTTAAAACTGAATCCTCGGAAGAAATCAGAGTGTAAACTTTTAAGTCTCGAGCGGGTAGCTTCTACCACGCATAGGAAGGGTTTCTGTGGGGCTGAAAAGAGATGGAGGAAGGGGTGTGTGTGTGGGCAGACCTGGAGCGCACACACACACACACACACGCTGGCACCCGCCGGCACACTCATCCGTCTTTGAGGCCCTGGTGAGAGGGACGAAGAGAGCGCATTTTCTTCTGACTTCTCCCTCTTCAGCGGGGCGGGCGAGATCCATCCCCAAATCCAGTTCCTGCTGGGAAATGTTTAGAAAAAGACACGTCCTCTTTGCTGTGTGGTCTCCACCAACCTGCCTTTACATTCCTTTTTGGGGGGGGGTAAAAGACGAGTGGTCAGCAGGAGCTAGGCCCGGTCAGGTGAGCGTGGAGCTGATGAGTTGGGACGGGGTTGTCAGGAAAGTCGCTCGTCGTCTCCGGCTGTTGGTTTTCAGCTTGTGTCCACGGCGTGGGCTACCACCAGAGGGGGGACGTTTGGGCTGAGGTTTCGGGGGGGGGGGGGGGGGGGGGGGGGACGACAGGAGGAGGGCGGTGGTCGGTCGGCGTTGGCGGCTACGAGCTGAGCCAGGCGTGGTTGAGGCATTCGCTGGCCGAGGCCCTCTTCTCAGGCACCATCTCCAGCATGGGCAGGAGGAAGTGGGTGAAGTGGCCGGCGTCCTCGTGCGCCCAGCCGTACTTCTCCACCAGCACGTCGAACAGCGACCAGGGCTTCAGCTTGGTGATGTGCCGCAGCTCTCCTGCAAGGGACGCCGGACAGAGCAGAGTCAGGGGGCGGCGGGAAAAAGGGCGCGGGAGCACGACAACGACAAAAAAAAGCAGCAAGATCAGAATACACGAATACACAAACAACAAATAAAAACACACACACGCGCGCACACTCACACACGAAACCAACAGGACCGACTGAATTCATTTGATTGCTATTAGTGCTTTTCTGAAGAAGAAAAGCACTGCCATCTGATGTTTATGTGTCCAATGGGAACGAATGGGGATATCAGAAGGTGAAAAAAAAATCTTTTTTTTTCCTGATATTCTAAAAAAAATGTGTCTCTTATGGGTGGTGAAGCTGAATAAAAAAAGAATTTGTGATCCTCGTGGCATTGACATATTTACAATTCAGCTGATGTCCAAAATAAAAAATATATAAAAAGCTGGAACAGTCAGATGTAGATTTATCGTTATGAGAACCAGCCAAAGCCCACATGGAAAGTCCTGTGTCCGTTTTTATAAGCGAAGACGCCCTTTATTGGACACTGCTTATATTTTCCTGATTACTCTTTAATAGATAAAGGGTGACCGAGCTCTTTTGGGACTTTTGTGGTCCGCCAGCACCTTCTGTTCCCTCACAACCCTATTTGTTTTTGTTCATTTTAAAGGAACACTTTGTACGGCCGGTGCTCATAAAATCCCTTACATCTACAGGACCTTTGCTTGGGGGGAGACAAATCACGCTGTGGATGCCGTAAATCTAGTCTTTTTCTCTAATTTGTATGACTTGTATGCAGAAAAGTGAGGTGCTACACTAAAAAGAAAAAAAAAATGGCAGGGTTTTGGCTGAAAAAATACAACCGCAGGCTGCAGGCAAGAGATTGCCAAGATCAAACAAGTGTGCACGGATTATGGAAAGGGATCATTTGTCAAGGCCAGGACTACATGTCTGACAAATAGGGAGGACAGAGAGCGGTTGGTTATTAACAGCCATGGTAACCTCTCTGTCCTCTGCATGTGATAAGGAAACTCCATTTATTAGGACCTTCTGTTACATACTACAAATGGCTCATTAAAAAAAAAAAAATTCTAATAGCACTACTACCTTTTTCTTTATCTTTTAGGATCTAATGGAAACATCACTTGCCGTAAAAAGCTCTGTGATGCTTTAGGTCTGCTTTTTTTCCCTTTTTCCAAACAATTTTTTTAAGATTGCAAGAACAGAATCAATGAATTCACCAGTTCTATGACAGAAAAAAAGGAAAGCGGTGACAGTGAAGGAAACGGGGAGCACGGCACGGCTGAGGTGTTTCTTGGCAGACGGGAGACGCCCTCGAGAGACAGAGAGGGAAAGTCGGCCCAGATTAACGGAGCAGAGGGAGATAAAAGGGTGAAGATTGAGACATCGGGCGCAGGCTCAGGCTGCGGAGAGACAACATCAAAGGCCCAATATTCCCATCTCATGACAAATTAAGACGAATATATAAGCAGAGAGGAGAGGAGGAAAAAGACAAACTAAGAAGTGAAGGAATGAGAGTGCAGGGGTTATCGTCTGTATCAGACTCCATGCACTTACCATCACAGAGGAGCCTGGCACGTCAGCTATTATTGTTCCTTGTAATGCTGCTAGTTTTTGATGAATTCCACCGAATGTAATATATGGCCTTAAATTCATCAGGCGGAGATGAAACAACTAATCTCAATTTATTGCTTTTGCACTTTTATAAATTACATGTTGTTTGATTGATCATAACATTACACTCAGAAGCCTGTATTTATTTTGCAATACAGCAAAATAAAGAGAACAAGGAATAATAATGGGACTTATCGGCCATGTTTCTGTACATGGCCCTTGTGTCCGCGGGTGCATCAGATATGCGACAAAAGACCGTCCTTCTGTACTTATTCTTTTGCCTTCTCCTTTCTCCAGAGTCTCAGAGTAAGCAGCTCAGGTCTGCAGATGGCTGTGACGCACAAACCAAACAAGCGCAGCCACAAGCTGAGGAGCAGATCCACCCGCAAAGCACCAAGCTGGCTCCTTCGTCTCCACTTTAGCAGCTGCTTTGTAGTCCACCATTGTAATTTTCTCATTAGTGCTGCTCCTGCTGGCTTCAGCTTTAAGGAGAGTCGGCGACGGGCAGAATCCTACCAATGCTACCGGCTGCAAGAGCGTTTGAGGCTCTATCACCCAATGGATTGCCAGTATTTTTAAAAGTGTTGTGCCCACAACAGCTAGAAAGCAGTACTATTAGGATGGCTGTGGCTGACGCACCCGATGCAACAAATATACGCATTTCTAAGTCTGACACGATGACAGGGAGAGAGGCATCAGTACTTTGAAAACACCTAGACAATAGTGATTCAACGTTTTGTATTAATGGTTCCATGTTTTCTCATGAAAAAAGGCTGAGAAATGCGAGGTCGGGGTTTTTAGAGACCCCCACAGCCTTAGGTTGTAATGGCACGTAAAGTCTTCTAGCAAAGCGTCCGATTTAACAGCCTTATCATTTCTTTACTTTGAAAGGTTCCAAATTTTATAAATGACCTGTTAGTATCAAAGGAGAAAAAATCACAAGAACTCTTTAAGTATTCTAAATTGTGAACTTACGATTACATATGTGTCTTTACAAGTTTCTCCTTTCTCGTTTTACTTGGGGCTGAGCCTCAAAATGCCATTTTGTGAAACTTTGTATGAATCATTTAAAAACTATTGCTCTTTAAAACCGGAGATTATTTTAATTGAAAGACTGGTTAGATGAAATTGTACGATTCAGTTTAGAGAAATGTTTATTTTTGCTAACATGTTCACGAGCAACAGAAAACCTTAGCCTAGAATAAACTTTCATTGCATCCCAATGAAAGGGTATAAGCCCAGGAGTTTTTTGTTAACGATATATCCGAGTCCCGCAGCCCCTGCATTTTGTGATCATCCCGGCAGGGACTGAAAACTTACCTGAAACCCTCCGAATAGTTTAAAAAAGTGTGTGAAAACTTTGCTACATAAGGAGCACTACCGGATCCGAGCTGTTGCCAACTCTACTGAGATCCTCGGAAGGGGGGGGGGGGGGTGAGGCCTACGCCACACGTAACCGGCTGCTAACCACGGAGACGTTTACCTTTCTTGGAGAAAAATTCTCGGCTGTACTTCCCGGCAGCGACCACTTTGCGTGGGACCTTCCCAAGAAGCTCCGTGATCAGAGCGATATGGTCTGCCCGACACCACATACATCACAGAGGGAACAGTCACGGTTCAGCATTACAGCATGCACACACAGCAGCACACATCCACTGGCTGCATGGCACTGACACACACTTCAGTTTCGAGGCACTGCCTGGACACGGTTTTCCGAAACGGAAGACTGACGCGGATAGGAATACCTCCACTGCTTCATTGCGGCTTTTACCAAATTGATACGCTTTAGAAAATTCTGCTTGTGTCCATTTTTTGTGTCCCTCTCAGACGTCTGTGTGTCTCAGTCCCACCAGGTCTCTGGCCAGCGCTACCTCTTCTGTTGAAGAACTCCCGGGAATATTTTCCAGAGAGAGCAAAGTGCCTCGGAATACAGCCCAGCAGTTCTATGATGTGGGCTATGTGGTCTATGGAGGAGAGAGGAGTGGAGGGAGTTAGGGAAAGAGAGAGGGGACAGGATGCCAGAAATAGAGGAGGAAGGAGAGGGAAAATGAAGAAGTGGGAAAATGAAGACAGAAGGAATCGGTGGGGTGCACCAAAAATCAGCCAGAAATTAAATGAAATGACAGAATAAGAGAGAGAAAGGGGGGGTTTATGTAGGAAATAGGGGTAAGGGAGGGACAAAAAGAGAGGGAAGAGGAAGGAGAAAAACACAGTCACAGACGATAAAGGAGAGAAAACTATTAAAAAGCTATGCCTCCACAGCAGGGGTGAGAAAATGAGCTGTATAAAAGGGACGTGCTCTTAGATTTAGTCCTGAATGAAGCTGGCTCAGTGTGGCATCAGTGGTGGGAGATCAAAGATGTCTCCATAAATCAGCCTGCTGGGATAACACTGACTGCTCCATGCCTGGGCAAAGCATGCAGAGGATTTAAACCGTGTGCCATGTGCAGAGAGAAATAAATAACACAAAGAACAGTGGGAGAGCAGCAGGGCCAGAACGAGGGCGCAGAGTTGGGGAATGAGTTGGACGAAGACAAAGAAGAAGAACAATAACAACAACAACAATAAGAAGACGAAGAAGAAAAACAACAAAAACAACAACAAGTAGAAGAAGAAGAAGAAGACGAGGGGTTCGCTGGAAGATGTTTACATGCAGATTTAAGGATGAAGCAGGTGACCTAGATATTGATATCAGGTGCTCCCAAGATAAACTACAGATTATCAAAATAGCATGAGCCATGTGAGCCTTCAGCAAGTGTCTAGAATTGAAACAGTCCAGGTTTTTGTGAGCAGAGGGAAGAAGATCAGTGGAGGCATAGCAGCAGAATCAAAGGTCAGGATTTACAGCTGGCAGTGGATAGAAGGATTTGGGGGGGGAGGATGGCTAAACTACACTAACTCTAGGCCTTTCATTTCTTTTTAAATTGATATAAAACACAATCACTGTTTCTTGCTTAATTTTTCCACATTGTTTGGATACGTTTTTGAGAATAGAGATAAAAAAACAACACATTCATGATTTGAAAAAGTTTAAAAAACTCTCAGGTAAAAGGAAACCAACTGCTTTTCTTCATTTACTTCTTCTGAATAGTCCCAGAATGCATTTGAAGAAAATAAAACTACAAGTCTTCACATTTCCATTTAAACAATAGAGAAATATTCTGACGCCAATCCCTCATCTTTCTGACATGTTAGATACTCCAGCTATTAATACATCTTCTATTCAAAATCCAGACTACAGCATTATGGTATGATAAGAAGATCAAGATTTTCAATGCTCACCCTCATCACGGGAGTAGTCCTCTCCAGAGTGAGGCTCGAACAGGTAATCTCCTGTGGCCAGCTCAAAAGCCTAAAGACAGCGATATCATTGCAGCACAACACATACACAGTTTCTGCAGATAGTTAGCCCCTACATAAGTATGTATATGTGCTCCTCACCATGCAGGCAGTGCTCCAGATGTCAGCGGGAGTACTGTAGCCGGCTCCTATCAGGACCTCAATGGAGCGATACTGTCTCGTCTGAATGTCCTCCGTAAAGTGCTTATGCTATCGACAAGAAAACAGCACGCAAAAAAGAAAGAAAGAAAGAAAGAAAGAAAGAAAACCTTTATGTTGTTTTTTAAATCAAACAGATATGAGACAAAGGTCAACAATGACGAATGTGTGTGTCATGTTTCTTTGTTCTGAAGTGAGTTTACCATTTATAGTTACTCTGGAAAATATTGACCTGATTATGGATCAGAGTAGATTTTATTTCTTCCTTGTTCAAATATATCGGAATGTTTTGTGTCTAGAATGGTGGGTTTAGGCATTCGGGCAAGTTGGAACTGTAAGGTCATCATGAATATGGTGAAAGACAAAAAGGGAATAGCTTTTCATGACGATGGCGGCTCAGTGGAAGAATGTTTCCACTATGTGAGTATCATAGTGTCTTCTCTGCTCCGACTTAAAATGGCGTTAATACTGACACTGAGTTTCTTTTCTGGTTTCTCTCGTGCTTAAATTGGACGGAAATGAAAACTTTGCTCATAAACATACTTGGACCGTCTCGTGCCACATTTAGAATGATGTTTAAAATTCATCAGATTCCAGATGCCGAGGCTTACCACCCAGCAGGCATTCCCGAGGTCAGCGATCTTGACTCTGATGGATTCAGCGTTGCGGGGATCCAGCGGGTTGATCAGGAGGTCTGCAGCTCTGGCCCTCACTGGGCGTGGACATGGTGCGACAGATAAAAAAAGAGAGTTTGTACTCAGACAGACGTGTATTTTACTACTGACCCACTGCGGCTTTTTTCAATAACAATTCAAGGTGATGACACTAAAACGACGCAGGTGGATGACTAACGGCTGCTGAGTCATGTGTAAAATCCAGGGGGAGATTTTTTTGTGGGCGCTATTTGTAAAGCAGAAGATCAAAACACTGTCATTTTTATTCACGCTATGCTGATCTTCTAAATCTAAATGATATCTTCTTCCTGTTCTTTAAAATTCCCATCAGCATGCACGTTCAAATGTTCTGGGCAAGTACACATTTCTGTGTAAAGCTGTAAAGCATTTAATATCCCCCCAAAAAACTCGGAGTTACTATGACTGCGACTATGTGATCTGTGTATGGAGATGGACGTTCACAGGAATGGGAAGGAGTTAAAGGAGCTCTTAAATAATGTTAGCCATTGCGAAACAGAGGGAGCAGAGAGGGGAGGATAGATGCACAAAGATAAAGCAGCACTGAAAACTTAGAGACACTGAAAACACATCTGCATTCAAGTCTGTCAAATAGGAGGAGAGGAGCAGCTAGTGGAGGAGCACCAGGAGGCAGCTGTGCTTAATCTCCACGAGAAAAAAAAAACTGATTCATTTATCACATGTAGGAGGAAGCGTTATTATTCTCTGCATTATGCTCTCTTCTTCCGGAGACGGAAAGCAGACAGAGAAATCCTGGCTTTGTCGAAATTTGGAATAAGGCTCTTAAGTCACAGGCTCTGAGTTTGAAAACCCGGAGCCTGCAAACCCCATTCCATTCTGATAAAAAGAGGTTGCCTAGCAACACAAATAACCAGCTCCTGAACAGGGACTGTAGAACTATGGGGAACGGGACATCAGACAGAATATCTTTTGTTTGTTTTGTTTTTTTTAACAAAAAAGAAAAAGAAAAAAGGAGATGTATTTTTAATTGTTGTTAAGAGCGATTGAAAGAGCATCTCAAAAACTCGGAGCAGTCTCTTGTTGTTCTAGAGGGAGGCAACAAAATGAAGGTAACAGACAGGGGTGATATGGCATGGACATGGGCTGTAAGAAGGTCCAACCTCACTTTCAACAGTGTTCTCAGACATGGCAACAGCTGTGCCGTCGTTGCCCATTCTCTATTTAAGGGGGAAGCAGGAAGCTTTTTCTATATGGCTGAAGTTCCTGTGAGCTGAAACAGCTGGAAAGTGAAGGTTATGCCCTAACGCAACACATCTTACTGATAGTATATGACAAAACTGCCTAATTGTCTTTCTTTCTTCTAAAGCCTGGCATGATATGCAGCTATGACCTGTATGCAAAGTTCTCTGTTGATATGGTTTCTCATGGTCAGCTGAAGCCACACTGAAATACCCCCAGCTGTAGCTGCCATAATGCTGGAAGGCAATCATTTTCCACCTCAGAGTTTTTTGACCAACAGCACTCCATACATCCACGAGGCCGAACACAGCATCTCACTCTGACGCTGGGAACTGGAGGGCTCTGTCATGTCGCACTCTGTGCCATGTATTTAGGGAAGAGGGGGCATATGGTGGCGCAGCAGGGAGGAGATGAGCATGTGGAGGGATTGTGATGCTCTGAGGAATGTCCAGCTGGGAGTCCCCACCACCTGCCTAAATTGTTTCAGCTTGAGAAGGCGCCACGTTGCACAAAATTGTTTGAGAATTGGTTCAGAGACTATGGCGCTGCCCTGACCCCCGTAGGCCATTTGCAGCAGATGCTTTGATCTTTGAGATTTAAATAGGGATCGTTAAGTGTAAATCAGTCATTTGCGGTTTAAAGCGTGTCTCACCTTTGGGCGTGTCTCCGGTGCTGGAGGAGGACACGGTGCGGCTCCGGTCTGCGGTGGGGCTGTTGGGGGAGGGTCCCGCTCCGATGTCCGCCGTCCCACCTGAAACGGGGCTGCCGGGCTCGGGGTCCAGGGGCAGGTCGGGGAACAGGGGCATGGTGCACTTATGCTGGTCACTGGAGCCGTTGGTCAGCCCCGGCTCAGGCACCTCGCCGTTGTACATCTCGTAGCCGGAGCTGAGAGAGACGTCCCTGTCTGTGTAACTGAGCTCGGACTCCACCAGGGGGCAGAGGAGGTGCTCGGGGTTGGGGGAGGGGGGCGGGGGGGTGCCGGGGTTAGGTCGGAATCCCTCGGAGCTCAGCAAAACGTGTCCGTTGGTTTTGGCTGAATTAGTTTTATTGTTCTGGCGTTTGACGGGGGAGGTGCTCTCTGTGAGGAGGTCAGCTGTCGTGTCATCATCCTCGTCTTCATCCTCCTCTTCCTCTTCCTCCTCCTCCTCGTCCTCTTCCTCCTGCTCCTTTGAGCCTTTTTCTTCCACCGCTGACTTCTCCTCTGGCTTGCCCTCACTCTTTGGCTTTTCTGTCTCGTTTTCCTCCGCCCCAGCCTCTTTATTCTCCTCCTCTTCCTCTTCTTCTTCTTCCTCCTCTTCCTTCTCCTTCTCCGATACCTTTACATGTGATTCCTCCTGCACGTTTTCATCCTCTGTCCCTTTTACCACCTCCTCCTCTGGCTCCTTCCCCTGCTCCTGCTCTACTTCTGCCTGTATTGAATCTCTGTCACCCTTTTCAGAGGTGGGAGGAATCGGGGCATCTTTTTCTGCGACAGGCGTGGGTTCCTCTTCATCTTCTTCCCCTTCCACCACCTCCTCATCTGGGTCATCAGCTGGGATGCGAGGCACCTCACTTTGCTCCTGGGGAGGCGCTGCACCTAATGCAAAGAGAAGAGCGGAAAAACTGTAAAGGCAGGAAGTGGGTGGGAGGGGATACACGGTGATTGCAGTCAAAGACAGTGTAGGCAGGGAGAAAAAAACGAGCACGAAGGGAAAGAGGCACAAAAAAAACGAGAATAAAAGAGACAGAGGGTGGAAGAGGGAGACGGAAAAGTATTTTCTGCGTTTCTTATTATTTTGAATCAGCCTGGGCTCCCATGTAAAGTAGGACTTGCGTGGGCTCAGTGCTGGAGCCAGTCCACATCCCTTTCATTCACAGACAGGCTGCATACACAAACTAACATGCTCTCCTTTACTAGAATATTTCCATTTGACAAAATGAATACAGTAATAATTACAAGTTATACTAGACGTAAGATGCACTCTTTAAAATGCCTTCATGTAAAACATTAGACCTTCAAATTAGATTGCATTATCATAAATCAAACCAGGAGAAAATCTTGATAGGATTAACTCTACTAAAGAAAACAAAGCATGACAAAGAATACACCTCCTGTGATCAGACAGGATAAAATGAGGATTAGGCTAACAGAAAACTTCTGATTCCGAACCTCGTCTTTTTCACTTCCCAACCCTCTAAAAACAAACTGATAATTGCCACCCCACCGCCACATGCAGTTTCAATTAGAACAAGACAAATTCAGATCAGTTCAGTTGAGCTGAACAGACAAAGATGCTGCTGATGATTCACAGCTCTGAAACAGGGCTGTGACGAGGAACTGCAGCAAAATCTCTGCAAATAGAAGCCTGAGCAAAAAGAAAAGTTTCACATGCCAAACACATGCGATGGAATGTTAACTACAAGCTTAAGAAATGCTCTTATTACTGTCAATAATAAAGATAATGATCAATATATGAACATACAAATTAATTTGAGGTCTAATATGAACATAGAATGTGAGTCTTCAGGGATGACATTTTAGTACAAAATAACAGCACAAAGCAAGCTAATCCAAAGCTATCAAAAACAAAAAGGTTCATTTCTGACACAGTGTTCAATATACTGGCTTCGGACGAGATCAAATTTCATATAGTGTCAGTATTAGTGTATTATTAATATGTACAACAACAGGGAAAAAAAGAAGCTAATTTTCCTCCATTTTACACTGAACACTTGTTACTTCTGTCAGGTCTGATTTATCACTGCTCATTCTTCTCTCACCTTATCTATCACCCAAATGGGTTAAATGCACGTGCACTAATCACTCATGAATGAATCCACATAAAAAAACAGTCATCATATCCATCTGAGGCAAAGGAGAGTCATTTCTCTGCGTGATAACGTCACAGCATCTACCAAAGACACAAAGAACTTTCCCAACTCACATGTATGATTAGTCAGCCTGACCGGCCTCTCCCTCTCTCCTCCCTCCTCATCCTCATCTTCCCCGTCCTCCTCATCGTCGTCTTCATCGTCACTTTCTCCCAGGGCCATGCTGGGACCCAGCTGCGGAGGCTTCAGCGTGGAGGGCAGGTTGTGTTCAAATGCACCTTTTTCGTCACTTTCTTTGGCTCGCTCTTCTTTTTTTTCAGCCTCCCTCTCCAGGGCTTCAATCTCCAGCATCCGCCTCTCCAGCAGCTCCGCCTGCCGCTTCTGTTTCTTCTTCAGCTTCTTCTTCTTGTTCTTTGAGATTTTCCCCACCTTGGATGGAGTGAGGAAAAGAAAGTCACGGGGGAGAAAAGGAACGAAAGGGTCAACAGAAGGTGGATATTAATATACTGTGTCCAATAACACTAATACTCCATATTAATGGCATTTACATTTGGAAACCAAGCCCATTCTCATACTTTGGGAACCTATTTTCTTTAACGAGGTGATTTCTACCAGAATTAAAACACTGCAAACTACTGCATGTTGTTTTTTCCTGGTTAAAACCAACCCTTTTGCAATATTTTTCCTCAGCCGTGCACGGTACAAAACTTTCTTTTTGCACTGTGTACTTCATAAAAATATTATTTTGGGTTAGAAACACAGAGTTTGTTTGGAGGCTCATTTGAATCATTCTCGATAATAGAAGCGATATTCTGAAGCAGTTGAGATGATCGCACTTCAGAGGGTAAAATTCTGGTTTTGTGTATCTTTTCCCACTTTTTGTTGTTGTGTATGTGTGCGTGTGTGCGTGTTTGTGTGTGATCGTCTTAGTTCATACTCACATCAGTCGTACTCACCGGTTTGAGCTGGGGGGCTGTGCTAACTGACAGAGAGAAAAACAACACAAATCAGAGGTTTCAAGACTTGGCTGACATCATAGCATGTTGAGTTCTCAGTTCCAAGTGCATCCCTTATTTAGGATAATTATGCCTTGTATAGGCTCCTTTAAAAGGCCTGTCATGTCCTGAGTCTGTGTGTGAAGACTGCAAAGAAATAATCTCACTAACCTGCCTATAGTTTTAAAAAACTTCAAGGACTTGCTGTAAAGTTAAACAAATGGGTCATATCAAACATACGAGAAAATTGTATTAAAGTCAATTTTGTGTGGACCCAAAATATTCCTGTATTATTACATTTTGTCTGTATCACCTCCAATGAGCAAATGTTGTGATAATGTAAAGAAACCCATACCTTTAAAGACCACTGAGCTTTCTCAATGTGAGGGTTGGTATTTTTATGCTCAACTTCAGAAATACCGAAACATGAAATATATAGGAGTGTAGCCACTTGCTAAAGTGCTAAAACTACTGTAAGGCTCCAAGAGACTTCACAGGCTGACGCAAGCAACTGACAGCTTGTGAGATGAATCATTAGGAAAGGGGTTCATGTTGAGTTCACCATGACTTTTCCTTTTCAAGAGGAGTTGCTAAAAAAGCAGGAAATGTCTCTGTAATGTACTCGAGTGGAAGCAGCTGAGAAGCAAAAAAGATTCCTCTGTGACCGCTTTTTGGGATAACAAGCTTTCAGTGGTGTTAAGTTTACAAATGACGACTTTAAAAAAATGAACCTCCTCTGGTGCCACCTCCCAACTCGTGTCCAAATCATCATGAAAAACCTGGACACATTTCTCACTGCATTGCTGGATTTTTTGACTCTCCACAAATTGTAGTCCACCGATTTTCCTTCTAGCTTAGCGTAATGAAGACTGCAGAACCCAGGAAATAAATGGGAAATAAACCTGTCGGCAACTTTGAAGCAAACACATTAAGTCAACACATTAAGGCACAGTTGTTTAATCAGAGCTTTAAAGAAAAAGTATATGTGCAAGAAGTCAGTTAGTTCTGGGCGCTCGGATTCAGCTCACACAACTCCCAAAGTGCTTTTCTTTCAGATGGCTAATACTGGAGGTGTGTGTGGCTACCTGCTGATCCGGAGGGGGGCGGGGCTCCAGCTTTCTGCCATTCTGTTGCCTCCATGGCCATACGCCTGACAAAGACGTCGTCTACGCACATCAGGATGTTTTCTGGTTTGATGTCTGTGTGGATGATTTTACACTTGGTGTGGAGGTAGTCCAGACCCTGCAGCACCTGCCGACACATTCACACGAACACACGACAATCAGAACATTCTGGCAAGCAGGGTTCGCCACGTCCTTAAATTCTTGTCGGCCTCTCTAAGCACAGAGTCGGTGCTTTCGATTCACAGTTTTTTGTTCGTGTTGTTTGTGTCCACAGGCACTGGGACAGAAGTGGTAAACAGCATCATTTATTTTCGATTCATTCTCTGAGCAGCTTGCGAGCAGCTGACGGGGGCTGAGAATGCCCAACAACTTCACATGCTGATCAGGTGGCTGCATGGGAAAATGCTTCCAAGTCTTGCATTTGTTTTCACTGGCAGTATTTACTGATATTTCTTGCTATGAGCAAGCCGAGTGACTGTAAATGCTTTACGTCAACGTAGCAATAAGATATATGTATTCAATTACGAACAAGCTTGCAGTTTGCCATGTTTTAGGAACCAAATACACCAAAATCACAGCATCAGAGCAAGAGAACAAAAGTGAGACTCATTCAGCAGTATTTTCCTGCTATAATCTCATCTAAATGTTGATGGTTTGAAAAGATGACCTCTACCTATTTGTTAAAACAACTTTGCTAAAATAATGTCGGGAGGCCTGTAACACTACTTCAACGCTTCAACGGATGGTTTCCCTTTGATTTCAGTAAGATAAAATGAAAATCCAACAAAAATGGTCTTTGATACAGTCCATTCTAACTAGATTACCACTAACAATAGATTCAATGATTCTGTTTTATATACACAGAAACTCTAATCATCACACTAAGTCTTGGTCTATTTGGATATATATGCTCTGTGCAGACCATACTAACTGAAGCCATTCACACTGTCTGCATCACACTTCCAGTGGAGTCATCTTCAGAATCCTCCAGACTCCTCTGTGTATCCTGCAAGATGGGGCATATCTTGTTGTGCAGAATGCAATCTATTTCGCAGCCGTCTGATGGTGAGGCAGACCCAGAGCAAGAGGATCAGAGAAAGGGAATAAACTGATAAAGAAGCCTGGGCACACACCACAGTAGTCGGAGAGTTTCTGCCACATGTCTTCAGTTCCACTGCAACCAAATATTTTAGAGGTTATTCCCGCACACAGCAATAACCAAACACCTTTTTTTTTAAAAAAAAGTTTACAGTGTCTAATAGCAGATAACGGCTACAAAATTAATTTCCCATCTGGGATTAATAAAGTATATTTCCTTTAGACTTAAAAAGGCTGAGTCTGTTTACAAACTAATGTCAACAAGACTACATGGAGTGGCTAAAATGCCAAGTTAGAACACATGATGTATTCCATTTACACACTGTTTTCCCTAAGGCTCAGGCTCAGGTTTTAATCCCTGTTTTGTATCAAAAAGGTCATTTTCCTCTGTTAAGCATATGCAAAAATAGGACCCACCTTCGACATCTATGACATATGGACTTCTCACTACCGCTAATTTTCTTGGGCTTTGACCTTTTATTTCTGCTACAAATGCTTTGTAATCTGCACTAACATTTGCAGAGGACATAAACTATCACCACAAATAGGAGTCAGATGGTAATTCACTAGTTTCTGACAGTTTTTTACTTGTGAAAACAGAAGGTATCAAACCGGGGTTAGTTAAAAAATAGTGGATTGCAGTTTTGGAATTCTTTTAACAGTGCCTGGTTTTCTGTGCGTCCTTACCTGTTTGATGATGCTCTTAACACACGGCAGTGGCAGACCCTGATAGTTGGATTTAATAATCCATTTCAGCAGGTGATGACCCAGCACTTCAAACACCATACACACATCTGGTATGCAGAGTCAAGGACTCAGATTGATTTGTTTCCGATTGACGGCCATGGAAACTGACAAAGGGACATCCACACACACACGTAGGCGTTGTTTAGGATACGTATGCCGTTGACTCCAGATATTTTGAAGTCATCTATCAGCTGGACCACCATGTCCTTGTTGGGATCGCTGGGGTCGCTCTCCCTGACCTGGAGGATGAGGAGATTAAGTTAAACAAGCTAAAGGTGGCTGGAAGAGGGAAGGAAAATGAAGGACAGGAAGAAATTGTAGAGATTGGGGAGAGAAGGAGTAAGTAGAGGATGAATGTGGGTGATAAAGATGTGAATATGAAGTTAAAAAATTCTATGAATTACGAGCCTAGCTTTGGTGTGACAGGGAGGAGAGGAGAAAAAAACCAAAGACGGTCACAGGTACAAAAGGAAAGAGGAAATTAGAAAAAAAACAGTGAAAAAACTCACACATCGCAGGAGTTTGATTTCATCCAAGGCCGTCTCTGTGTAGTGTTGGGCGCTCTTCACCACCTTCATCGCCACAAAGTTCTTCACTCTGGAGTCAAACACAACTTTGTTTTACTCTGATCTACGTACAGACGTGTTACAAGCAGCAGCGATGGTTATTGTGGCAAAAGAGGAGTGAAGAGAAATCACCAAATGAGTCAGCTTTAACCGGCGGAAGCCTGGGCTGGAAGTGGAAATGCATGAGCGAGGTGTGTGCTGTTTCATTACAGCCAACACGGTCACGCCTTTTCTACCATCACCGCTTTGCTTGTTGACCTTCTAAGTCTTCCTTCTCTGTTATATTATTCATTCTACCAGCCATTCTGTATCCGGGTGGAGCCATAATGAAAATTGTTATCTATTTAAAAATATTATTTTCATTTGAAACTGATCAGATAAAACAAAAGAACGAGCTGAAATGATTTGTAGCTCGGGGGAAAAGGTGACTGTTTCTTCGGTTCTTGAATATTACAGATTAAATCGAAATAAAATGTTTAAAAATCCAAGTGAATGATATTCCTCTTTACCGGTTTGATGTGAAAATTTGCCTGACACTAAGTGGTGGAAATTAACCTTAACATCTGCCGGCAGCAGCATTTTGGAGATTAAAAAGTAGACAGTGAGACTCATTTAAAGAGTCATTCTGAGAGTTACAAAGAGAAAAACGTGAGCGTAAAAGAGCGACAGTGTGAGGATAGAGGGGTGAAGCCGGTGCAGACTGTGGCCGCTGCACAGCTGTAACCCAAATCCAACTTATGATCCATTAGTGTAATTAACACCTGTGACGTGAGCAAATGAATTGATGTGTGTGTCTGCGGGCACGAGTTGGTGAAAAGTGACACCAGGTTGAGGATACGGTCATCCATCCGTCTTGGTTGCCATGTGAACATAGCAAACAGCGTAACGGTTCCGACTAATGGCTTTGTTTCCAGAGCAGGACGGAGATAGTACAGCTGTCATAGCGCTGATGTTCCAGATCCTGCCACGGGAAACTAGCATGGAGTGTGTCTGTGTTTGCATTAGATCCACAAGCACTACTTGGGGAACATTCGAGTGTGTATTTGTGTGTGTCTATGAGTGTTTCCATATTTGTTTTATATACATTTAGTGCGTACCATGAAGCCCATGAGTGTGTGACTCACTGTATGTCCCAGCATAGCCATACGGTGGAGAAGTGGCCCCACCCAAGCTTCCTGATCACATGGTACCTCCCGTTGAATAAATCTCCGATCTTCACCGGATGGTATCCTCCTATAAGGGATGGAGAGGAGGAAATGAGACGGTGAGCACCAGGAAAAGACGGTGCTGTCTGAATTGTGTGGCAAGATTCTTTAAGGGAAGTGGAAACCGGTGAAGATAAAAGGAAAAACTGATATATAAATCTTGGCAAACCAAGCAGATCCATCAAGGTCTGTAGGAGATACAATTTGACATCACTATAAATTGAAGCACAACACAATGTAAACACAGCCAGGAAAGAAGAATTCAAGAAAAACCTCAATATCAAGTTGGATTTTAATTTAGTCACTCAAATTTAGGAACACTGACTCAAGAATAAGTGTTTAGGGGCATAAACAAAACTACAAAAACACCTGCACTCATTTTAAAATATGCTGATGAATTTAATTTATTTTATGGAAGAAAACACATAGGGGGCAGAGTGGGATTCAGTACAAAGGACTTTCTGACATGTAGATTAAGATTGTCTGATAGAAACATGACCTCCCTCCTGAGAGACCGATATCAAACACTCAGCAAATTTGCTTTAACATTTGAGCTGAGTTATGGATCAGCTTGATGGGGGTTTTTAAGTTGGACCTAATTCCTTGTTGTAGAATACAAGCACAGAAACAAGCAGTGGACCTGGACAGAATGAAGATGCATTCAAGACCCTAACACTAACCCTTCATTCCTTCCCTTGAGGTTATTTCTAGGCTCATTAATAAATTAATAAATGTTAAATAGGACCAAATATGATATCTTATCTCTTGTCTGTTTGTCTTTTGGGTTTGGCTGTGCCCAAAGGTTTCTCTCTGATGAAAGAGTCCGAGAGTCCAAAAGTTGTGGGGAAGAAAAGCTTGTCTTTGTGCTGTTGATAGTGTTGGATCAGCCTCCATTCACGGTACACTCATTAGAGCCAAATCAAATATTAAACATGCTGCAGCATCTTTCCCTATGAGTTCAAAAGTAGAGTGCCGTTCTCTGTGTTTACACCACTCGGACACACAGCCGTGCCTGAGTGACTGTGCCCAAGGTTTCGAAATCGCCTCCATCATCCTGAGCCACTGCGGGGAAACCAGGCTGCTCCTTTCTGGCTAGAACCAGATAACCTTGAGACTCCTGTAACGCACGAATGGTTGCACCGGCCATGTTACAAATCCCATAAGGATAAGGGGGAAGAGTTGAGGGAAGAGGAAGAGCAAACGCAGACAGAAAGAGGGAGCAGGGCAGCCATGGTGGAGCTCTGTAGGATGGAATGTGGAGAGTAAAAGTGATGTGCCGGCCCGGGACACATTCGTTCAGCCGGCTGCTGGCTGCTTGTGTTTATTTCTGACCTTTGCAGTAGTCGGCGGGGTCCTCCTGCTCCTCATCGTCGGAGCCCAGGATCTCTTCCTCCGGCTCTGGGGGCCCTGCCGGCTCAGGGGGAGGTGGAGGAGGCGGCGGGGGAGGAGGCGCAGTCACCGGGGCTTTCTGCTGGGTCTCAGGTCTGTGAACACACCGACAGGTCAGCGGTCAGTGGACAAAAACTACATCAGAAGTCGGGTAAAGTTTAGACCAGCGGCGGAGAGTGGTTTTATTTTGGGACTCACAACAAGTGCGACTGTCATCTGAGTCATGAGAGCAGATCAGGAGTTTGAAAATAACACTTTCTAAGGTACACTCCGGCTTCTGAAGTTTGTGGTTCTTAATGGAGTCGGTGCTGAGCCCATGACAGCTTTCACAATTTGAAACATGCTAAAATCAACAACAGCCAGCCAGAAAAGTGCCCACAACTCCACAGCAAGTCTTTTCAGGTGTAAATCAGGGCTTTTACTCATTTACTTATTCATTTGGTGACTTTCCAGAAAACAAACGAGCAAAGGATGCATCACTTCGGTAGCACAGACAATCTCTATTGTGTAAAATAAAAGACAACCCAAGAAAAAAATGATTTTTTTTCAAGTTGGCATGAGGATAATAGACAATTAGCAGCGCACAACAGAGAAATCTCTAAATAGATTAGTCAGATTTTGATTTACAATGAACGTTGACATTAATTTTTTTTCTGACTGGCATCTCAAGAACTGATACAATTTCCATCAGGGATAAGTAGCTCATATCCACATCCTTGTAACTGCGGCAGTTAGACAGAAATGTTCAGCTTGTTGTCACTACAGGAAAAAGGCTGCGAAACGATAGGACCTTGTGTGTTAAATCGAGTTAGCACATATGTATATCAGTAAGGGAAAACTGCAGAGCTAAATCCCACTTTCCCCTGGCAGAACCACCCGCTAAGCACTTAGCCGGCATCCTAAAGGTGACGTCTATCAATCCATCAGAATGGGAATTTGTAGCTTTGCTTCGGGAGGCTTCCAGGACACACACCGTGTTTGTCGAGTTTGGGTTGATTCCTCTAACGATGTTTTTGGGAGAGCCAAACCAATGCCTCCAAGCCAACCGGCCTGTGGGCTGCCTGTTTGAAGTCTTGAATTTGAGATACTTAATTCATAACTACAGTGGTCAAACCATTAAAAAATAAAGCATCCACAGAGCAAAATAAGTATTCTTTTTATGTTTAAGGCACTGAATAAAGCACCTGAGGGAAACATTCAGCTCTTAAGGTGCTAAATCCCCTCCACTCCACAAAATTTTTTAAAACAGCTTGTCACTCCAAAGCGTTTTTTTATTCCTTATTGCTTTCTCTCTGGAAAATCTGGTGGCCTCATCAGAGACGACTAAGGAGACAGAGAGTTGAAACTCTCAAGCCTTGTCAAACATAAATGATAAATCTATCAATATATGCTACAACAAGAAATTGTCCCTTGTATGTAAAATCACAAAAGCAATTCCCAAAAGAACAACAGTTCAGGATATTTATCCGAGTTCATTATTTAGATGTAGAAAAATATAGTAACTCAGGGCCGGCTACATATTTTTATTTATTTATTTTATTGGGCATCAAACAAACACTTATCAAGTCTCACAGGAGCCTTCCCCAAAGGGGAAAAAACCCTTTCAGTACCATCTTTTTAAGATGACCCAAGAGAGGTCGACAAATGCCACGTACACAACGCCGCCGTGGCTAAATCAGCTCTCTCACACGGAAAACAACAGCCCACACACACAGTCGGAGCTTGTGAGCCACTATGAAAAAATTGTGGTCACAGACACGGATACACGATGGAGCTTCTTGGTGTGTTGCTATGGCAACTGCAGGGCGGGGGGCGGGGGTTGTTTGCGAGCGTGGAGGTCCGTGTTATCGCGAGTGTGTGTGTGTGTGTGTGTGCGCGCAATGGGGGTCCAATGCTTAATGTATCTATACACGGACACACAGTGGACAGCTGTGTTCTTTCAGTGGCCTGCAGCTTCTTTACCAAAGCAGTCACGTAGGGCGGCATCCATCCCATCTATAAGCTCACTGTTTTTCATCTGACCCTTCTCTCCACATGTACATTTAGCCCCACCATAACTTCCTGGATCAGAGCACTGAAACGTCAACATAGTGGAGACGCCGCCATCTAAGAGACGAACAGGGGAGAGATTGGTGTCAGAACCGAAAAAGACAACAACAAAAACAAATAAATCAATAAAAATCAAGCCTGAAAAGCGACCAACCCGGAAGTATTAGAGAGAAAAAAAGGCGTAGAGGCAAAGAGAAACTCTGTGGGGGAGGAGTGAGAATCACAATGTATAAAGGACAACAGAAGGAAGTGAAGTCAGACAGGTGCAAACGGCGAGAGGAAGACGTGAACACACACCACGCGCACACACAGGCAGAAAAATGTGCACGTGAGCAGGAGCAGAATAATCCAGACAGGCGGACTCATCAGAGAGAAACAGAGGAACAGCCGGCAGAGGCATAGCGCTGCAGACGATAGAAACCAAAACAGAGAACAGAAAGTGCACAAATCCACAAGCAGCTCCACCTGCAGTTTTTCCCTGAAAAACCAGTGGAACGGCACAGAGGAGTAAACAGGATCTGAGCGAGTGGAAAACTCCGGCATGAATAAACATGAAGCAGGAAAAAAACAAAAACAAAATCACCCCCAGGCAACGAAACGCCAGAGTAAAGAGTTGCCTGGTGTGTAAACTCACACACTCATACATCAGAAATAAGACGGTCATTTTCTGTGAACTTAAACGAGCACCACTTTGCTTCTAAATTAAGATGCAGATGTTTCCGGAATGACAGAATTACCGCCCAGCATACATTTACAACTGTTTGCTAAAAAACACTGAAAACAGAAACTAGTTTTATTGTAAATAATTGATGAAAAGTGGGCTTTTGATTACAATAATCTGAAAAAATCTCTTTGGGGATATGAGCCCCACAAACATGTCTGTTCCACCAGGAAAGAAAAATCCAAAACCTGGTCATTCGCTATACATTCAGCTGACCTCTTTCTTTGAGCTCATGGTATTGAACCTCACCCTGCTTCTCTTTTTGCTCTGAAACGGGGAAAATCTGGACTCATCAGATTGGATGACCTTCCTCCACAGCGCCAGATTCCAGTCTTCATGTTTCTTAGCAAATTGAAGCCCTTTTCTTCCAGTTCGCCCCACTGATGAGTGGTTTTCTTTAGACTACACACCTGTTCAGTCCCGGTCTCTTCAGTTCTAGGTCTTAGAATGTGAGGTTTTTGGGTTAATATTCTTCGGTTTAAGTTTTGTGGATTTGTTTTCCTTTGTTCCAGTTTCAGTTATTAGAGTTTTCCTAGAGTTTCTAGTTGTTTTGTTGGCTTTTCCACCTGAGTGTTCCATTTTCCTGTGACTTAGTTTTCTGCAATCCTGATGTTCTGCGTTGACTTGACTTGAATGATGGAGCAGAAATGTGAAAACTTTTTTATTTATTTTTTAAAGTTTGAGGGTGAATGGATGCTTATGTTGCTGTGCCCTTAAACCCAGACTCTTCACTGCACCGCAGCAGGACTAATTCATATTTTAAGGGTATTAGATATACATTTGCTTCGCAAAGCACACCACAGCGGCAAGACAGGGTTCAGGAATGTCGCCGCCCTTCCTGCTCATCTGCCGGCGGAGCGCAGGTTGAGGCAGGAGCTGTCCAGCCTGCCCCCCCCCCCCCCTGCCATCGGTGTGCCGAATGCCATTTCCAACCCTGACATCTGGCTATGTGCACGGACATGCCCGGGCCGCCGCTCCCCAGCCCTCTGCGCAGCGCCCCGGCGTGTTTGTGTGAGTGTGCGCGCTACCTATCTTCAGTCTCAGCCGGCCTCACGCCCCGCACTGGCATCTGGAACCCCGGTGTTACATTTCCAACAGCCCGGCATGACTTTTTCTGGGGCTTCATCTGACAAAAAAGAAACATTCTTTTCCTCTCGAGGACGGGGGGAGAAAAAAAAAAAAAAAAAAAAAAGCTCATAGTGTTTGCCATTGGCCTACTTGAGAGGCAGGAGCTAATGTCAGATGTCCAAGCTCCATCATCCACATGGAAAAATCAATCCTGTCACGCTGTAAGGCCGGAGCTCATAATGCCAATGTAAATGCTATGTAGCGTCGAGGAATGAGGAGAATGATTAATTCCGTTTGACAGAGAAGAGATTGAAACTGGGAAAAAGGCTCCTTTTCCTGCCAGGAAATTCCTCCTCATAGCACGCTTTGTAAACACGCATGAGCAGATTCGTTCCTGTAAAACTGCCAACCTAACAGTATGGAACTAAAAATATGTTAAAAATGGTTTGGAGAGCCTAAAAATCAATGTTAATATAATTCCGGATAAACCCTAGTCGAAGTCTGGACACCCGTCTGACCTTTTCAAACGTTATCCTGACATCAGGTCACAGAGTGGACGCTGGTCAAGAGATCATTTCTAAGTGTTTTCAATTCAAACTGATGCGGCACACACTACTGTATCAGCTCACCTGTCACCGATTCCTAAGACAAAGGAGAATACTGTAACCATATTTCATATTCCTTTACTCTTCACCCCAGTTCAACATCTGAAAAACAGCTAACCTACACACTAATACATGTGTCTCAAATCTGGGCCAAAACCAGAAACACATGAGTGGTAATAAAATGAAAAAAAGCCCTGTTTCATTTCTTATCAAAGAAAACTAAATCAGACTTTAAGGCTCAAAGCCAAACCTTCCAAGAAGCTTCCACCAAAAAGTGCAAAAGTCAGCACCGAAGGTTCCAATCATGTCACCAGCCCAGAAGCTCGGGCTGGTGATGTATTAAAGTTACCTCATCACTGCTATAATCTATAATGCCTAATGCCTGCTCGTGCTTCACTTCAGCCAGGATCTGTGAGCCGTACGGTCAGTGATGTCTGCAACAGGTGAAAGAGACAATCTGAATATCACACTCATATGTTTTACTTCCCTTTTAACAATGACCGTTAATCCTGATTAGAAGGAAACACTCTGAGCTGTAGTGAATCTGTCCTTCTTTGGTCCTTTGGAAGGATGCATTCATATATATATATATATATGTCCCTTCGCTCTATGGAATAACCGTGAATCCCTCTTGGTGGTGCACTCCCTATTTAATTTGTGCAGTTAGTGTGTTTTGGAGCACAGATGA